AAATAATTTTACTTGGATCTAATGATGCTTTTGCAAACATTTCCTTCTGAAATTGTACAAACCCATCTTAAGCTATTGATATGAACATGAGCTTTCTAACAGGACAGACGCAAATTGTACTTAACAACACAGAAAATAAGATTATTATTCTTTTGTTCCTTTTTTTAACTATCTATTTCCATGTACCCCAAATCTACTCATCCCTAAAGCTTTATAAGAAATACAACTTTCTCCCAAATACTCCACTCAATTCTCCCACTAATGAATTTCTAATGCATCCATTACTTACATCACATTGTGCAGTTGACTATTATATGTTGTCTTCTATTTGTATCTGTTTCACAAATAACAATTTTTTTCCCCTTATTAAAATGTAAGCTCCTTGAGCAAGATCCAAGTTTTCTATTTCTCCTGTACTCCTCTACTGTGTCAATACTGAATCCATGACAAACACAAATTCTTACTGGCTGACTGACTGATTTAAAATGAGGCAAGAAGGCAAGAGCACTCTGAAAGAAATGACCCAATTAAAAAAAGGGTGATGGACTTGAACAGACAGACATTTCTCCAATGAAGAAATACAGATGGCCTGTAACAGGCAAATGAAAAGATGCTCCACATCACTAATCGTCAGGGAATTATGAATCAAAACCACAATGAGATATCACCTCACACCAGATAGAATGGCCACTACCCAAAAGACAAGAAATAAGTGTTGGCGAGGTTGTGGAGAAATGGGAATCCTCCTACAGCACTGGTGAGAATGTCCATTGGTGCAGCCACTATGGAAAGCAGTAGGGAGTTTCCTCAAAAAACTAAAACTAAAAAAACATTTGACCCAGTAATTCCACTTCTAGGACTTTACCCGAAGAAAATAAAATCCCTGATTTGAAAAGATATATGCAACTCTGTGTTTATCACTGCATTATTTATAACCAAGATATGGAAGCAACCTAAGTGTCCATCAGTAGATGAATGGATAAAGAAGATGTGGTACATATACACAATGGAATATTATTCTGCCATAAAAAATAAATCCTGCCATTTGCAACAACATGGATAGATTTAGAGGGTATTACGCTCAGTTGAACATGCCAGGTAGAGAAAGACAAATACCGTATGATTTCACTTATCTGTGGAATATAAAAACAAAGTAAAACAAAATGAACAAGATAGCAATAGACTTACGGACACTGAGAAGTGACTGGTGGTTATGATGGAGGAGGGGTTGGGATAGGTGGGAGGGGAAGGTTGAGGGGGATAAAATGGCATAAAAATTCTCAATCATAATATAAGTTGGTCATAGGGATAGTAGTACAGCATGGAAAATAAAGTCAATTATTCTGTAATATCTTCCTATGTTGACAGTAACTGGCATTAGTGGGGGTGAGGACTTAATAATAAGTTGAAACACTGTTGAAACACTGTGTTGTGTATTTGAAACCAATAGAAGATTGTACATCAATGATACTTCAATTTAAAAAAGAACACTCTGTATATTGAACATTTGTGTGAAGCTTTAGAAAAGTCTAAAATAAAGATTTCCAGGCTGCTATATATTGATATTTGTCATTTACTTAGGACTAGAATGGTTGAAGATTAATACATACAGGGGCTAAAGGGAAATACCTAGAGTTAAATATCACATTGGCTTAGCTCTGTCCTATGAGGAATGAGGACATACCAATGTGAGCCTACTCATAAAGTAAATGGAAGCTATTCTGGAAAACCCAGCACACTCCTCAGATCACAGAGCTGTGAAGGTTCTGATTCTACGCAAGATCAAGCATTTATTCTGTCAGGCCAAGCCAGTCAGGTGGCAATAAAGAAAAAGGAAAGGAACTCTAGAAAATAAAACTGTAATCACAATATTTAAACAAGCAAGTGAAACTTTACTTTTTCTTATTCTTCATAATCCAAACAACCCATCTAGAAACAAGACTAATGAACTCTGTAGAGTTCAATCACTGTAAGTGCACTCTACATACTTACAAATGGGAATGTAGGACCCCCTGCTCCTTCCTTTATATATGAAAAGGGAATTTCCTGCCCCTACTACAGGGCAGATACTGTTCTAGGCACCATGAATACAGCAGTTTACCAAACTCACAATTCTAGCAACAAGTACAGAGAGATTAAGCTTTGTATTTTACAGAAATAGGAGACCTCAAGGTTAAGTCCAAATCTCTTAGAAGAGAAAACCAAAACCCACAGAGGTTAAGTTAGTTAACTTCATGTATATCATGACTATACGGCAATAAAGGCAAGAGTAGAAAGACTTCCTATCTCTTCTCTAGTAACGAAATGTACTTATTCATTAAGCAAGTATTTCTGTGTGCCTATTGTATGCCAAACACTATGCTAGGCACCAGGTACACTAATGGGTAACATATGGGCCCTGTCCTCAAAAAGCACAGTGTTACTGTAAGACAATGGGATGAGTACAATAATAGAAGTGGTAACAGAGGAAAAAAGCAAACTACATCTCGAATTGCATAGGACTTCCAATATTTTTAAAGAAAACAAACTGTTAACAGTTTATTTATCCCCACCATAGCCCTGTGAGTATAAAGCATACATCTTATTATTCCTTTTACAAAGACAGAGAAATTGAAGTATACAGTGGATAAGGGAATCTATTAAGGTCATCTCCAGTGGCAGCAAAATGCCTAGAAACCAAGACTGTTTACTCCAAGAGAGACATTTTTCCTCTAAATGGGAAAAGCAGATGTTCTTTTTTAGTCCAATTCCCTTCTGAGCAAGAATTTACATTTACAAGATGGTGTGTAGAAAAATCTGTGGTTATGAACATAGACCTTCCTGGTCTGTTCAAGTCCTATGGGCTAAGTTTAGTTATCCCATGGTTGAGTAACAAGCCAACAAGACATCATTATTACTAGCATTCTTAAAGTGCCCAGAATATGTACGTGTGTGTGTGTGTGTGTGTGTGTGTGTGTGTGTGTGTGTGTACGTGTGTGTGTGTGTACGTGTGTGTGTGTGTGTGTATTACACAGAGTAGAATCGTGTGTGTGTGTGTACGTGTGTGTGTGTGTGTGTATTACACAGAGTAGAAGGAAAAGGCTCTGCCTCCAGGGGGCTAATATTATAGGGTACAGGCTTATAAACATTTCAACAAAAAGTGACATAATTAAACAAACTACAACTAAATAACCATCACAAATAATGACAAATTTACAACACTAAAGTTTTGCAGAGCAAATCTAGTGGGTGATCCCAAGAAATATACTCTTCAAGAGTTAAACAGAGAACAGAAGCCTTGTATATGTAATAATATATACCAATCTTCAGATTAGTGAAATACAGTCTCTTACCAAAAATGTGTCTTACATTAAAAAAATTAACTTCTTCATTCCTTCTTTCACTTTTCAACTTTACTCAAAACAATTATAGGAGTGTTCCACTTCCCTCTTTCTAGGAAAGTTATATATTTCATAACCTTTCCAATTAAAAAGAATGAATTTATAATGGAGGTTCAAATCAGCATGTGTTGAGCAAAATATTAAATAAATCAGTGTGGTCTCACTGCACTATTCTTCTACTCTTTGTATGATGCAACCTAAATGAAATAAATCTGATAATTTTCTCCTATACATAGTAAAATTTGTATATACATCCAAGCATCACTCACTTCATAAAAAGTAAAATGGGAAAAAAACATTTTCAAGTTTACTTTTAAACATTAATTTCACTTATTGATAACCTCATACTGTATTTTATTCATATCAGTATTTATCACAGTCTTAAACATAACCATTTTAAACCTTAGCACTTTGTAGAATTATTAACAAAATAAAGCTAAGGAGAAACATTATTAGTGATTTCAAACTGCTGACAAGAAGAATTTCTTTAGGAACCAGCTAAATAGTAAAAATTATAATCATCCTTTCAAAGGAATAATGTTATCATTATTTTAAAAATAAAACTTGGTTAAAAAAAAACCTCTCTGGTATTTCCTGAATATACTTAGGGGATTCATACTTATAGCCAGTTGCCTTCCTTTTAAACATTTATTGAATTTTTATAGGGTGATAAGTAGCAATTTCAACAATAATTTAAAACTATCAGTAAGTTTCATTAGAATTATTAACAGTGCATCAGAAAATTATTGATGATGATTTTTCTAATTCCTGACACCTACTTCCATCACAAGAAAACCTAATTTAATAAAGAAATGCTTAAAACTAACTTAAAAGCATAATAACCAACTTTTTTAGGTAGGAGAGGAACAGGGCTTGATTTATCTCTAGATTGGCAAGAGAAAGACCACTAGCCAAACTGGTTCTTAAATGAGGCTAAGAAAGTAATTAAACATGCAACGACAGTGACATCTAGTGTTAATAATTGCAGGCCACCAGACTACCATTAAATCCCCCCAAGTGCTAAAGAAACAACTCTTCAAGGTATCTCTTTAAAAACCAACAAACAGAACTCAAAAATGTTCTAATAGGTTTCCTTCCAGACATTAAGAAAATCTCAAGAGAAAAACACCTTAGAAGTAACACTAAAGACCTAAAAATAAAAAGCATTGTTTATTTCATGTGGCCAACATCTGTAACTGCTCCCCTCGGTCACAGAATTTAATACAAAGGTAATCTGGCACATGTTCTGATGAGTGTTTTTCATAAACATTTAAACTTTCAGCTATAAAAGCAAAGAAAGATATTACATAAGCTAATGCTTGATGATACATCAAGAAAAAGCAATTTAAGACATTTCAGGAATACCTGAGGAAGATACAAAGAAAAAAATTTTTTTAGCTTGCACTGAGAAACAAGCTTTACACTTCAGTCCTTGCTATCTTCCTATATTTTTGTTGCTTTGAGAGGTTCACTTACTAAACAGGAGATATTTTTGCCCAAAGGCTTAAAATTTGGCAGCATGCTCTAGATGAATCTATAAATATAAGCAAAATTCTAAAAATTATTTTTGGCTAGGACAGTATTTTATAAAAGGTAAAGTTAGCATGAGATGGAGCTTACCTATTTTTTTTGGAAAGTTCATCCTTCCCCCTTTTAACTCCAAATATTCTTGTGATCAAGGTACTGAAGAGAAGTGTGGATGAATTTCTCACCTAATATAAAAATAAATACACAATAAGGGTTAAGAAATATTCATGATATGAAACTAACATTTACAATGCTCAAAGTAGATATTCAAAATCATTAACCAATTGGCTAGTATGGGGCTAAAGAAAATATGGTTTCTGTTCATAATATAAAACAACTTTCAAAAATTTTACAGTAATTGACTCAATGACTTCCTCTTACAAAGAGCTCTACAATTCAGTTGCATGCATACGACACAGTTCTTTCCTATACTTCTAATATTACCAATTGTTTTTATCATCTCTTTGTACTTGTACCATCAGGTAACACTTCTTTAAAAAAATTTTTTTCATTTTTCCATATCCTTTCTGATGATGTATATCCCCAAAAGAGCTCAGCTCCTCCCATTTATTCTTTGTAATCATTTACTTATGAAAAAGCTTTGCAAGATTCGAAGAACCCATGTTATTAATATAGCCAAGAAAATAGTTAATATCCAAAGTCTTGCTTATTAACTTCCCAATATAATAATTTTAAACCTAAAATTACCTGAAACAACTGGTTAACATAAATAAGAACTATCATTAATAAATATGAATCATTTCTTCAAAATGATAATAGAGCTTATCTGTTTCCAAGCTAATGTGTCAAGACACTTTGCTATATCATAAAAATGTCTTCCCAAAGCCATGGCATATTGGGTTTCTTCAATGACTTTGCCAAATCAGACTAGAGATGTATAAATATCAGTATCTACTGACTTTCTTACAATAAAGAAGGTACTACACTAACACTATGGAAAATATCCAGAAATAGAACACACACACTTACTGCCAACACAGAACTTATATTCTAATTAGGTAAGTGTCATAATTATGTTATGTTAAAATAGAAATATAAGAGGAAAGAGAATAAAAATGAACAATGTAAGATTTAGAAGATATCCCTCTGGAACTACTGCAGTTAAGTGTCATAAACTCAAATGCCCACCAAAGACCAGTGAGTGACAGGCAGCAGAGGACTGGGTCTAACGCAGCCACTATTCAGCTTCAGCTCAGTTGTTGCCATGGGAGAATGTAAGCCCAGTACTGTCAGACCTTCTGCTTTCTCAGGAGAAGCCAGAAACCCCAATTTTTATATGAAATCTCACTATTCTGAAATGTTGGCAACAAATTTAAGAGGAAAAAAAAAAACAGTGTGGAGGCAAAAAACACAGTTGCAGGCTGTATTTGACCTATCAGCCACCAGTTTGCAATCTCTCTGCTAGAAGCCTAAGACTGACTCAATTCATGCATGGCAACTCAAGAAGTAAACAAGAGATACAGTGGCACAATTCATATCAAAATTGCATTAAAGCCCTAAAATTAGACAAATTCATGTATGTCCAGTCAAGAGTAAACAACATTAATGAAGACCCTACTATGTTCCCTGACTAATATCCCCAAACAATAAATCTCTGTCTCCTGTTACTGAATCAACATCCCCTCTGCCCTAACTCAGGTCTTGATTATTTTGACTTAGCCTATTGACTTAGTTTCCAAGACTTCAAGGTTTAAGATGACTTGGTAAAGTCATCTAGGACCCTCTCTCTTCTCAGGAACTGCACAAAAACATTTAAAAAATAGAAAAACTCCATTTTGCTTTAAACAAACTTTCTGACCAAGGCTGCCCAATGTGGTGAAGTTAAAACAGAAGTGCCTAGAGATGAAAAAGGGTGCCTGCCAGAGTACACCTTAATCAAAACTGTAGAGGACTGTTTCACAAGGTGAATGGGCACCCCAAGGAAGAAAACTTCCTTGTTTGATTCAATAGGCTGGAGGTAGGAGACACACAATGTCTTTTAGTAGCATTAAGATGGATCCATGAGTTCCAGTATTATTAGCCTGATCCATTCATTAAGTTCCCTCATTAGCTGCCAAAGATCATCATAACCTATTCCAGTAAGCATAGCAAAATAGTGATATTCTACCATTCATCAGTTACAATTTTTTAAAAAGTTACTATTATAAAAAAAAGCTTTCCTGCATCAAACCAAAACTTATTTGGTTACTCTGTTATTTGGTGCAGAATTATTTCCATAGATTAACCAGTTTGCAGAATGAGTTCATGCCACAGCAACCTCCAAAGGCAACCAAATGATGATCTTTTAAAACATTTTTGAAAATTAATTTTCCTCTTACTGAGGTAAGTTCACATACCATAAATTTCACCATTTTAAAGGCCACTACTTAGTGGCTTTTACTATATTCACAAAATAGGAAACTACAAACACTACCTAATTCCAGAATGTTTTCATCACCCCAAAATGAAACCCTGTACATGTTAGTAGTCATTCCCCAACCTACTTTGATCTACTTTCTGCAGATTAATCTACAGTCCACTGTAGTCTACTTTAAGAGTATAGAAATAAAGCCTAGCATTTAGTTAAAAAATGGGCCAAAATAATTCAATGGAGGAAAGAACTAACAAAATGGTACTGAAACTACTGATACCCATATGCAAAAGAATGGATTTGCTTCTTCTCTTATACCATATTCAAAAATTTACTCAAAATGGATCAAAATACTAAATGCAAGAGCTAAAACAATATAACCTTTAGAAGAAAACATTAAGTGTAAATCTTTGTAACCTTAAAAGATCATCATTAGGTTACCTTTGGAAGTCTCTATGGTAGGAACTCATTCTACTGAGTCTACTCATCTATTTTCTGTTTCTATGGATTTGCATATTCCAGACATTTTATATTCCTAGGATCATGTAATATGCAGCTTTTTATGACTGGTTCTTTCACTTTGCTTTTCTCAAGGTTCACCTATGTTGTAGCATGTATCAGTATATCATTCCTTTTTATGGACAAAAAACATTCCATTGTATAGATATACCACATTAAAAAAATCTATTCATCATTTGATGGACATTTGGGTTGTTTCCACTTTGGAGCTATTACGGCTAATGGATACTATGAACATTCATGCACGAGGTTTTTTTTCCATTTCTCTTGGGGGTATACCTAGAGGTGGTATTACTGGGTCATATGATAACTCTACATTAACCTTTTAAAGAACTGCCAATGTGGTGGTATCATTTTACATTCTCACCAGCAATTTATGAGGGTTACAATTTCACTAATTCTCCTAATATTTCCCAGGACTTGTTACTGCCCATCTTTTTGATTATAGCTATTTTAGTGGGTATGAAATGGTAACTCATTGTGGTTTTGATTTGTATTTCCCTAATGACTATTGAAGTCAAGCAACTTTTTATTGGCCATTTGTGTATTTTTTCTTTTTGGGAGAAATATGTTCAAATTTTTTGTCCATTCGTTAATTGGGCTGTCTTTTCACCTTTGAGTTGTAAGCGTTCTTTATATACTCTGGATACTAATCAAATATATAATGATATAATTATCAGATACTTGATTTGCAAATATTTTCTCCCATTCTGTCAGTTGCCTTTTCATTTTCTTGATGGTACCTTTTGAAATATAGACATTTTAAGTTTTGATCAAGTCTAATTTATCTTTTTTTGTTGTTGTTGCTCATGCTTTAGGTGTCATATCTAAGAAACCATTACCTAATCCAAGGTCACAAAGATGTGCACTTAATGTTTTCTTCTAACATTTTTATTGTTTTAGCTTTTCCACTTAGGATTTTGATCCATTTTAAGTAAACTTTTGGAAAATGGTGTACGATAGAAAGCAACTCCATTCTTTTGCATATGGATATCCAATTACCACAGTGCCATTTGTTAAACAGACAATTCTTTCCTCTATCATCTTGGTACCTTTTTTACTAAATATTAGGTTTTATTTATAGACTCTTAGTTGTACTCTATTGATTTATACATGTCTATCCTTATGCCGGTACCTGTCTTGATTACTGTTGCTTTGTCATAAGTTTTGAAGTTTTGGACATGTAAGTCCTCCAAATTTGTTCTTTCTCAAGATTATTTTGGCTATTCTGAATACCTTGCATTTCTATCTGATTTTAGGGTCACCTTGCCAATTGGTGCAAAACAGACAGATGAGATTTTAATAGGATTGTATTGAATCTATAGATCAATTTGGGGAATACTGCCATCTTAATATTAAGTCTTCCAGTCTCTGTACATGGAATATCTCTCCATTTATTTAGGCCTTCTTCAATTTCTTTCAACAATGTGTTATAATTTTCAGGATACAAGTCTTATATTTTTTTTGTTAAATTTATTCCCAAGTATTTTGTTCTTTTTGATGCTATTATAAATGGAACTGTTTTCTTAACTTCACTTTTGGATTGTTCATTCCTTGTATGTAGAAAAACAACTGACTTTTGCATATGATCTTGTGTCCTGCAACCTTGCTGAACTTCTTTGTTACCTGTCATGGTTTTTTGTATGAGGATTCCTTAGCATTTTCAACATATTAAGATCATGTCATTGAAAAATAGAGATAGTTTTACACCTTCCTTTTCAATCTGGCTGATTTTTATTTCTTAATGTTGCCCAAATGCCCTACCTAAAACCTTCAACACAGTCTTGAATAGATGTGGCAAGAGTATCTTTGTCCTGTCCCTGATCTCAGGGGGAAAGTCTTCTGTCTTTCAATAGTGAAGTACATTATTCATTATGGGTTCTCCACTGACACCTTTCATCAGGTTGAAAAAGTTTCCATCCATTCATAGTTTACTGAGTGTTTTTAATATGAAATGGTATTAGATTTTGTCAAATGCTTTTCCTGCATCTGCTTAAATGACCATGGGCTTTCGTCTGTTAGTCTATTCATATGATGTATTAACATTAATTGATTTTCATATGTTGAAAAATATACATTCTATATTTTGAAAGTGTAGAGAAGTTACACAGCATATCATTTTAAAAGTTATTATAAACAGAACAAAATAATTAGCTTGGAAGACTTTACTTGTTACTTAAGATACATGAGTGCACACAGAAATCTGTGGCTTTCCTATACACTAACAATGAGCCAATAGAAAGAGAAATCAGGAAAACAATTCCATTCACAATTGCATCAAAAAGAATAAAATAC